CCCCCGTGCCTCCTCCTGCGTGCGCCTGGGCTCGCAGGCACTGTAATCCACTGAGATATTTGGTTGGCCAACATTTTTATTTCAAAAGGTAATATATTCCAATTCAGAGGGTACAAAGACATATGTAGTGAAATCCCTCACACTTTTGTCTTGGCCACTTATTCACCTCTTTTTTTAAAAATAAATTTTATATCATAGAGATTTTTCATAGTATATACAAATAGCAAGAACATAATGAATTACTATAATTCATCAGTGATATCTTGTCTTCCTAATTTCATCTCTCTTCCTCTCTACTCTTTTCTTTGGTCTGCACTCTGTAATATTTAAAATGAAATCCTAGTGTGGTGTGATAGTTCATACCTGTAATCCCAGATAGGGAATTGGAGACCAGCTTGGCCTATATATACCAAGTTCAAAACCACCCTATCTCAAACAAAACAATACAACAAAAAAGAAATCTATTCACTTTTCTTAAAAATAAATATGACACCCAAAGTATCTCTGAGAAAGATACCTTTCAAAATATTAGTGCCTTCATCAAACATAGTCTTAATATCAGTGGCTACTTAATCCATATTCAGATTTTCCTGATAGCTGAACAGTGTCTTTTTTTCATTTGATCTGTTTACATTGTAATGTAGTTCAGCTCTTCTGAGGCAGCCAGTGGTACTAATCTTTTGTATCTTTTGAGAGAAATTCTTATCAAGTCTGTTTAAGTCTGTTTCAGTTATTTTTACTTTTTTTGTGGTACTGGGGCTTGAACTCAGGACCCTGCGCTTGCCAGGCAAGTGCTTATTCTACTGAGCTATCTCTCTGGCCCCTGTCTCAGTTATTTTTTATTGTTGCTGGGACAAATATCTGACACTCAAAATGAAGAAAAGGGTTTATTTAGCTCACATTTAGTGGAGGTTTTAGTCTATATTATGTTGGCTCCAAGGCAAATGGCAGCAGCTCTTGGCAGCAGAAAACAAGGAAGAGCAGAGGAACAGCAGCAGCTGTGGACTCTCATGATGACTGGCAAAGACCAAAGCTCTTCTAAGAAAGTGATCAAGCTCTTCCAAGGAAGTGGGCGGGCAGAGAGAAGCCTTCCTCAACCCCTTTATATACCCTTTGCATACTGAGTCACTCTAGGGCAGCCCCTCCATGCCCCAGGCAGTGGAATCACCAAGCAGATCCAGCCAACCTTCTGACATCTCAAGTTGACACAATGTGTCAACTACCACAAAGTCCATATACTTATCCTTGGATTCGGTCATTCTTCTCTTTCCCTGCTTCCCCTTCTCTTTTGTTGTTTTGTGGTATAGGAGATTGAACTCAGGCGGCCTTCACACTAAGCTGCATCCTTTGCTCTTTTAATTTATTTTTGAAACAGAATCTTACTAAGTTGTTAAATTGCCCAGGCTGTGCTTGGACTTGTAATATTCCCCCCGCCCCTCTGAATGCCTTCAAGGCATGACAGGCTGGCTTGTGTTGTGGGGATCGAACCAGAGCAACCTGAGCCTGACTGCTTCGTTGAAGCAGCCACTTAAAGAACTGAGCTAAGGGGCAGGCCCCCGGACTTGTAATATTTCTGCATCAGCCTTTTGAGTGGCTGGGATCATAGGCATGTACCACTATACTTCGCTGAATTTTTTTCTTTTTATATTAGTGTTGGAATACTGAAGTTATTCTATGTTTTTAAAGAAATCTCCTTAGGGTATGTTAATATTAAATGATGATAGGGTTTATTTTGGAAAGTTGGTATATGCATTTAGCCTAGCTTAATCTTTTTTTTTTTTTTTTTATTTTTAGGGAAGGGTCTGCAGGGTGTTCAGGGTCTCACTACTAGATCGAACTCATAGTGATCTGCCTGTTTACAGCCTCCCAAGAACTGGGATTACAGGCGCGCGCCACCACACCCAGATTGGGCAGACTTTTGTATGGGCAGAACGTCTATCACTATGGACTTTTGAGTGTTGACCTTGCATCCTGCTGCTCTCATATAAAAAGATGAAACAATGAAGGAAAAAAACAGAGAGAAAAAAATGTCTACTTCAAGGTGTGTCTGTGCTGTCACTGGTAGGCAGTGTGTGGAGACAGCCCAGGTTGTGTTGATTTATTCCAGCTAGTCAGCTTTATGGTGGGGTTGTGGATAATCTTAGGGAGCTTGTACCTTTATTTCTCCTGAAGTTCAGGCTGGTTTCTGGCCATGGGCCAGTCAGTGCACCTTCTGTGGGCTTGCATTCAGCAGGGTACAGCTAGTTGGAGCCAGCATTCCGAGCTCCATTGGTTCCCTCTAAGATGGCTCCCATCCAGTTGCCCTGTCCTACAGGATAGCCAAATCCATCCACACCACTCAACAGCCTGTGAAGTCCACGGTGATCACTACTCTGCAGTTGCTAGCAGTCACCACATCAAACCATGCATCAAACCATACCTCCCACACAGTGAATACTGACTGAGGTCTGAGATGGCACTGCTTGCTACCTCTTTCTTCTCCATTAAAGTTTCTCTCTTTATTCTTCTGTGGGCTTCATTTCTTGCTTTAGACCCTTCCTGGGTCCAGGAGACCTACTTTTCTCCTTCTTCCTCCTGTTGCTATGTTCCAATGTCCATACAGCAAATCCCAGAGAGGCTTTTTCTCCGCTGTTCACCATTCTGCTATCTTCCCAGAAGTTTCAGGCTCTAATATTTTGAGTCCTTTATATAGTCTACATATATTAGTCTGCTGAGAAGTAGCCTGCCGATTTTTTTTCTTTTTTTTTTTTTTTTCCTACAGTTTTATTGATAAACATATAGCAATGACACAGTTTCAAATCAAATCGGAAGTACAGTTTCAACAAATAATACACTGCATATATTCTTCTTAGTGGTTAATTGCTGTACAAGA